TCACAACCATTGGGGTACTCAATGAATGTGCTTTATCCATATAAAAGCACTTCAAAATATTTTCGGTGTACATCGAGAATGAAATAAAAATTTGCTTTTAAAAAAAATGAAACGTTCTTGGTATAAGGGAAATACTTGTGAAAACAAGTGATGAAAAGATGGATGGAAAATAAAATTAAGAGATGAAAATAATGGGTGACGAAGTCTAAAAGTACAAAATGCTTAGGGATGTGTAAGTCACTATTATATAGTTTACCTACCCGTCCCTAGCCAACATTACAACCTGTTAAAGTCCTATTTAATTCTAATCGAGCATACTTAATTAGTAGAGATGTACATAATGGGCAATCCTATAGTTCTTTGTGCATACATGTGAATACGTTTGTGAGTGCGAGAGTTATTTTTTTATATTAAGTCCTTAAATTATATTCATTCTTTGATTTGAGTGTATGGACTAATTATTCTTGTGAGCTTAATTGTTTAGTATCAACCGAAGTGGTGGTGTTTATAGACTTGATTTCTTGAGAGTGATTTTAATGCTTACTTGATGACGAGCAAGAGTCTAAGTGTGGGTTGTGATGTTCGGCGAAAAATGCATATATTTAACCATTGTTGTCTCACATTCTCGTACTTTAATCGTCTTTTGAATTTTAATTATATTATTTTGTGCTTAATATTATATTTTAACTGTATAGGAATAAAGCGATATGAAGATGAAGAAATTTATTCAAAATTAAATAAAATACGGAAGAAAAAAAGAAGGAAAATAAACGAATAAAAAAAGTGAAAAAAGGGGGACACCGTTTGGTGTTTGTCCCCCAAGTTGAAGACAAAAAAGAAGAAAAATACAAATAGTAAAGAAGGCAAAAACGTACCTGGGAAGAAGAATTGAAAGAAAATGCGGAAACGTAGTGCCTCCACCGCCACGGTCAACGCCCTATGCTGGCCTGGACCCTGCGTTGCAGAATTTTTCTTATTTCGCCTGTGATAAGGTTATTTCAGCCCAAGACCTACCCAATTCGTATAAAAGCAAGTCTAAACCTATTTTGGAGGGGGAGACGACACTTTGAGAGGAAAAGACAAGCACGAAACACTCGAGAGCAAGGATTCTTAGTTTTTCTTTCTCTTCTCTTTCTTTAACTTTATAGTTTATTAGTTCTAGAGTTTTGGGTACTACATAAACGTTGTAGTTTGAAGCTTGAGTTGTTTTTATTATTTTATCATTTTGGTTTATTTATTCAATCTTGCGCTTAATTATTTGATTGTTTGATTACCAATTGAATACTATCTACGAATTTAGGATTGAACTTGTGAGAGGAAATTCTAGATTGCATATAAGATTGAGTAGAGCAAGATCTTGAACTCGAGCATCGGGAACGGATTTGCGGTTAGGATAGGGATATACTTAATCGCCTTGCTTGGTTACTATACATGAATTATTAATGCGTTCTTGCTAATCCTAATTCCATAGGAATATAGGTGTTAAGTTAGCTTGAATAGGCGAGTAGTACTTCGGGAGAAGGCTACGAGCAATATTAACCCTGTCAATCAATAAACCTGATAAATTAATTAGACGATTTAAGTGAAAAACTCAACGGGATTGTTAGCTAACCCATAACTCTAGAATATTTTCTCCCATTGAATTCATCTCTAATATTGCAGATTTGTTTCCTTTAATCTCTTAGTTTGCTACTCTAGATTAGTTGTAGTTAAATATTCATACTTTAGAAAATCGCTTGAATATATTAATTGTCTTAGTTTAATTTAGTAAATAGTTAAATACAAGTCTTTGTGCATACTATATATGGACTTACAATATTACTTGTCGACCACGTATACTTGCATGTGCGTTTGGGAGCAACAACACCTAATTCTTTCATTGTTAATTAATATTACTCATTAGGAACTCCAAGTGATTATGATCGTAGATAAGTTGAATAAAAAGTTAGAGCTTATTAGTTCGTCCGAACTTGTAGCTAATAATGTAGCTCTACCATCTTTAACCTATTTTTCTTTTTCCTTTTGGAGATTATGATCATTATGTAAAATTACCACTTCAGAGTAAGGGTTTTGATGTGTGGCTATAATTTCATAGTTTCTTACATTATGTGCCTTGCATTTTACATGCTTTAATAATAAATTACACTTTATTTACGCATAATAGAGTCTATTTTATGTGTAGGTGAATTGGAGATGAAAGTTGAGAAAAAGGGATACTTAAACGTTGAAAGTGTGCTCGAGAACAGTGAAAAGGAGAGACTTGGCGAGGCCAGCCAAAGGCCAGGTTGGACCAGGCTTTAGCCTGGCGAGGCCAGCCTAAGGCCAGGCTGAACCAGGCTTTAGCCTAACGAGGCCAGCCAAATTCCAGGCATTACGCTGGCGACGCCAGGCCTAACGACAGGTCCAATCCGAGTTTTGAAGACTTAATTCATTCCGGGTTTGATTAGGACTCGGACCACACGTTTAGGGTTTCTTCTACACATATAAATGGACCTAAAACACGACTTGGAAGGACGTTTTGTTTAGCAGTCAAGGGACTTGGGCAGCCAGAGGCAAGAAGAGCTGGTGGAATCAACTCTTGGGAGTTAGAATCATCATTTCTACATCTCTTCATCTTTACTCTGTATTTTAATTATGCAAAATATTTGGGATATTGTTACTATGAGTATGAGTAGCTAAATTCCTAATCTAGGGTTTTGATGGAACTTATTGAAGGATGATTTTCTTGTTACGTTAATATAGATTTTCCGTAGTATTTTCTCTATTTGTTCAACTATATTATTCGTGTGGTTGATTGAAGGGCTCTCAATTAGTTGTGCCTATTTAGTATGTAATACTCGGGAGAGAGTGCATATTTAGGTAGTTGTTGAACAACATCACTCCTAAACGTATATGAGTGATCAATACAGAGGTTTAAAGGTGGGTTTAGGGATAATGAAACCTTGATGCGATCTGAGTGAGCTATACTTAATGCCAGCTAGCGTAATTCGGGAGAATATGCCTAGTAAATTATGGTAATTATTCTGGAGAGAGTTACGACAGTTAGAGTGCTCATCGTCGATAGAGAAAACTTAGGCAAATTTGTAGAAAACATAGCGGAAAAGATTCCAACAATAGAGAAAATCACAACCTTAGATCATTTCAATTCTTGTTTATAACCTGTTCATAGTTAGTTGTTAATTATTACATTTTCATTACGTAATAATTAGTTAATAAAACCCAATCTGCTACTTAAATATTTCTGAGGATTGATTGTGTGAATTTGTGCGAGTCTAGTAGCTGTGTTTGATAGGTTAATTCCTTGTGGGATTCGACTCCAAAATTATTAGCCGGAATATATTTGCAACGACCGCTTAGTCCTTTTTATAAGGCATAGTTGGGCATGATCAAATTTTGGTGTCGTTGCCGGGGAATTAACGGTATTAATTATAGCTAAAAGAAGTGCTAGAATTCTTAGTGTAGTCAATTTTCTCCATTCTAAACCAAATACATTGAAATTTTAACGGTTGTAGTCTTGGGTGTTACAGGTGCATGCCTAGGAATTACTCAAGAACTGGTGAATTTCTTGAAGCGAAATCAGATCCTGAGAAAGTTTTCAAGGCACTAAATCGTGCAAACAAGAGAAGCAAACAACAACGAAACTCGAGAGAACAAATTGAACCAAACATGGCTGACGGAATAGAAAATCCAATAAACAACAGAAACAATGAGAATGAACCAAACATTCGGGGTATGGTGCCTCTTGTACCAGAAACAGCATTATATGATTGGGCACAACCCACCACCGACAATCTGGAAACCACAATTGCAGTCCCTCATATACAAGCAGAATCATTACAAATCACAAATAACATGCTACATTTGTTGCAGAATAAGGGATTGTTCTCAGAGTCACACATTGAAGATCCTCAGCAGCACCTGAAGAATTTCCTGTCAATATGTTTAACGCAAAGGCAACCTAACGTAACACCGGATGCAATAAAGCTTTTGTTGTTCCTATTTTCGCTGACAGGAGAAGCTCAAACTTGGCTTAATTCACTCCCCATAAATTCCATCACTACTTGGGAGGAATTAGTCAAGCAATTTTTGAACAAATTCTACCCACCAAATAAAACTGCCAAACAGATTGATGATATATTGAGCTACAGGCAGAGACCAACAGAATCACTACAAGAAATGTGGGAGAGGTTCAAGGGCATGCTGGTTAAGTGTCCACATCATGGTATTCTAGATCAGATGTTGTGGCAGAGATTCTACATAGGACTGGCTGACAACTTAAAGGCCAATGTGGATGCTTCAGCAGGATGAGCATTTCTGAGTAAAACATTCACAGAATGCAAGACCCTACTTGATAAGATGGCACAAAACTCAGGATGGATGACTATAGCCTCCACGATCACTCTGGTAGTTCCCTCAGTGGCGTTGGACCCAAACAACTCTATAGCTGAGAATGTGGCCACTCTAATGACACAAATAAGTATCCTCACCAAAAAGATTGATGAATCAGGACAGAAGCAGCAGGTTCACATAGTTGACACAACTAATGGGGGCTTATGTACACCATGCATTAACCAACCATATGTTTGCTCGTGGAGTGCGGAAAGTGACAACCAGCAATATCATGAAGATATGAATTATGTAGCCAACTATGGGGGACAGAGGCAAGGTGGTCTAAATTGGGGTCAACATAATCAATAATATAGACCAACACAGCAGCAGTACAATAACAACAACAATCCTGGAGCTATGTGACCAATGGGTTAAGTCGCGTCTTACCCAAGGCAACATGGCTACATCCAGCAAAATCAGCAGCTGACTTATCAACTTATGGGTTTACTAAACTTGAGGGAATGTTGGACAGCAACAATAGAATGCTATAACAATTGATTGGGTCTACAGGAAAAATGCAACAGAGGGTAGACTCGCATGAATCAGCGATAAAGGGTATTGAGATTTAATTAGGACAGATTTCTATGACCCTAAACAATCGTCCCCAAGGGATGTTACCTGCAGATACACAAGTCAATCCAAAAGAACATGGCCTGAAACAGCTTATGGAAATGAGTCTACAAAATGGTAGAGACCTAGATATGGAGCAAGAGATGGCTCGCGAAAGCCGACCTACTGAAACACTTGTGCTTGTCCCCATCGAGATAGATGACTCAACAGGGTTGACAGAGGTTATGGTACAACATGCGCCAGCCGAAACAAGCAAAGAAAAAGAAGTCGCGAAGGAAACTGAGTCAAAGCAAGAGAAGGCAACAGAAATAATGACAGAGCATGTTCAAAATCAAACCACATTAAAGAAGTGGCCTCCAGCACCTTTCCCCCAAAGATTGGCCAAATTTCAAAAAGATAAGCAATATAAGAAATTCTTGGAGATGTTAAAGCAAATTCAGGTAAACATCCCATTGATTGATTCCTTAAAGGAAATGCTTGGTTATGCAAAAATGCTGAAGGACTTAATGTCTCGTAAGTTCGACTTTCAAGACTTGGCCATAGTTACACTAACTCAGACATGTAGAGCTGTTGTGACAAGACCCATAGCTGAGAATTTATTTGATCTAGGGAGTTTCACAATCCCATGCACAATAGGCAACTATGTGTTTCCTAAGGTGCTCTGTGATTTGGGGGTAAGCATAAACTTGATGCCCTTGACTATCTACAAAAGGTTAGGCATTGGAAGAGCTAGACCCACGTCTATGCTGTTACAGCTAGCCGACCGGATAGTGAAGAGGCCCTCTGGTATCCTTGATGATGTATTAGTACATGTGGGGAAGTTTGTTTTTCCATCAGATTTTGTCATTTTAGACTGCCGGGTTGACGAGGAGATTTCCATAATTTTGGGAAGGCCATTCTTGGCCACTAGGAGAGCCCTAATTGACTGTGAAACTGGAGAGCTAAAGATGAGATTAAACGATGAAGAGATAACATTTAATGTGCAAAAATCTATGCGGCGACCCAGTGAGTTTGCTAACTACTCTCTGATAGAAGTTGTGGATGTGATCTTGGAGGAGGAAGATGAGACTCTGAATGCAAAAGACCCTCTAGCAGCATGCCTCGTGAACTTAGAAGAAATGAATGGTGAAAACTTGGCAGAGTGGGTTTTGGCCCTTGAAGGGTAAGGGTACTGGAAAAGAGAGCTCGAGTTCGAGCCCTTACACTTAGAAGAAAGAAAAACACCTCCAGTTAAGCCGTCAATTGAAGAGCCACCACAGTTGAAACTAAAATTGTTACCTTCTCACCTCAGGTATGCTTTCTTGGGACCTAAATCCACTTTACCTGTTATTATATCATCTAGTTTATTAGAGGTGCAGGCAGAACAACTTTTGCAGGTGTTAATGGAATGCAAGACTACAACTGGCTGGACCATTGCAGATATTAGGGGGACCATCCCGACATTTTGTATGCATAAGATTCTATTGGAAGATGGGCACAAACCTTCCAAAGAACATCAAAGAAGGCTAAACCCCAACATGAAAGAAGTGGTGAAGAAAGAAGTGATCAAGTAGTTAGATGCGGGAATCATCTTCCCAATCTCAGACAGTAACTGGGTTAGCCCAGTTCAGTGTGTGCCAAAGAAGGGTGGAATAAATGTAGTGCCCAATGAGAATAATGAGTTGATCTCAACTCGTACAGTTACAGGTTGGAGAATTTGTACGGATTATAGAAAACTGAACACAACCACCCAGAAAGACCATTTTCCTTTACCATTCATTGACCAAATGTTGGATAGACTCGCAGGGAGGTCTCACTTCTGCTTTTTGGATGGGTATTCGGGGTAAAATCAAATTTCCATAGCCCTTGAGGATAGAGAAAAGACATCATTCACTTGCCCGTATGGCATCTTTACCTTTCGGAGAATGTCGTTTGGCCTATGCAATGCACTGACACCTTTCAGAGGTGTATGTTAGCCATTTTCACTGACATGGTTGAAGATATTATGGAAGCCTTTATGGATGATTTCTCTGTGGTAGGGGATTCATTCGAAGACTATCTGCACAATTTAAGAAGAGTGTTGAAAAGGTGTGTGGAGACAAATTTAGTGTTGAACTGTGATAAGTGCCATTTTATGGTACAAGAAGGCATAGTGCTGCGGCATCGAGTATCCAGCAAGGATATTGAGGTTGACCGTGCTAAGGTTGAGGTGATTGAGAAGTTTCCACCGCCCACTTTAGTAAGGCAGTAAGAAGTTTCCTCGGGCACGCCGGGTTCTACAGGCGATTTATAAAGGATTTCTCTAAAATTGCTAACTCCTTATGTAAACTCCTTGAAAAGGATCATTCTTTTGTGTTCTCTGATGACTGTAGGTTAGCATTTAAGGAGCTGAAAAGGAGACTGGTGACTGCACCAATCATCGTCGCACCCAATGGGAGCAACCATTTGAGCTCATGTGTGATGCGAGTGATTATTTTATAGGAGCAGTCCTGGGGCAGCGGAAGGACAAACTGGTGCACCCAATTTACTATACAAGCAGAACGCTAAGCCGTGCACAACTCAATTATACTGTGACTGAGAAAGAGATGTTGGTTGTGGTGTTTGCATTCGACAAATTCAGGTCTTATTGGATTGGTTCAAAATTGATTGTTTATACTGACCATGCAGCACTTAGGTACCTGATAGCAAAGAAGGAGTCAAAGCCACGCTTGATCCATTGGGTTCTTTTGCTACAAGAATTTGATTTGGAGATCCACGATAGAAAAGGGGCAGAGAACCAAGTGGCAGACCACCTTTCAAGGTTGGAGGGAGCTGAAAAGAAATTTGAGGTAGAAGATATAACTGAGACATGCCCAGATGAACAATTGCTAGTAGTGACATTGGAGGAAGCGCCATGGTATGCAGACATTGCAAACTACATGGCAAGCAGTATTGTCCCCTATGATTTTTCCTCTTTTCAAAAGAAAAAGTTCTTTCGTGACTGTCACATGTATTATTAGGATGAGCCTTACCTGTTCAGGATTTGTGTTGATAACATGATCCGGATATGTATCCCTGAGATAGACCAATCTTCTTTTTTGCAGGCTTGTCATGCATCACCATATGGTGGCCACTTCGGAGGAGTAAGGACCGCCTCGAACGTGCTGGAATCGGGCTTCTATTGGCCGACAGTGTTCAAAGATGCACACTTATGGGTGAAAGGTTATGACGAATACCAACGAACTGGGAATATTTCCCGCCGACATGATATGCCTATGAACCCAATTCAAGAGGTAGAAGTGTTTGACGTGTGGGGAATCGATTCCATGGGGCCTTTCGTCCGCTCATATAGCAACAAATACATACTCGTAGTTGTAGACTACGTGTCGAAATAAGTGGAGGCTGCAGCGCTCCAAAAAAATGATGCTAAGGGGGTAATTGGTGTTTTGAGAAAGAACATATTCACCTGATTTAGCACTCCAAGGGCGATAATCAGTGACGGAGGCACTCACTTCTGCAATCGAACCTTCGCAAAGCTTTTAGAAAAGTATGGTGTATGTGACAAAGTTGCCACCCCATATCATCCACAAATGAGTGGGCAAGTAGAAGTATCGAACAGAGAGATAAAAAGTGTTTTGACAAAGACTGTGAATGCTACAAGAACGGATTGGGCAAGAAAGTTAGATGATGCACTCTATGCCTATCGTACCGCTTTCAAAACTCCGATTGGTATGACGCCATATAAATTGGTATTTGGGAAGGATTGTCACCTGCCAGTGGAGTTGGAACATAGAGCTTTATGGGCACTGTGACAATTGAATCTTCATATAGAAGTTGCGAGCACAAGTAGAGTCACAGATCTGCACGAGCTTGATAAATTTCGTTACCACGCTTTTGAGAGCACAAGATTATACAAGGAGAGAATGAAAATAATGCACGATAAAAATATTCTTGAGCGGAGTTTTAAACCCGGATATAAGGTATTGTTATACAACTCGAGGTTGAGGTTATTCCCGGGTAAGTTAAAGTCACTATGGTCGGGACCATTTAGTGTGGTGGAGATTCACCCCACCGGAGCCATAGATATTGTTGCATCAAATCACTCTCGCACGTTTAGAGTCAATGTGCACAGGTAAAACATTATTTGGGCTTGGAAAATGCGAAGGTAGTGTTTGTGACTCATTTGCTCGAGCCACCAAGATTAAGCGAGCCTTAAGTGCAATTATCTGCGCCGTGCCACTACGTTAAATCAGGCGCTTGTTGGGAGGCAACCCAATTCGTAGTTGATTTTTAGTGTAGTTAGAAATTTTCCATTTTTTTGTTGTTGTTGTTTTGTTTTTAGGTACTAACAAGTTTGCAGGCGAGTTGGGCAAGTCGAACAGGGTTTCAGCATCACCTGACACACCAGGCGTTGGGGCTGGCGACGACTGGCTAACGCCAGAGTCTGCTTGGCCTTAGGCTAGCGACACCTGGCTAACGCTAGGGTCTTCTTGGTCTTAGGCTGGCGACGCTAGGCTAACGCTAGGTACTGGGCCAGGCGATGCTAGGTAAGTTATTTCGGCCCAGTTTAAGTTATTTTAGTCGAACATCTTCACATTACACGCCCTAAACACTGAACACAATACAAACAACCCTAACCTCACTTAAACCAAAAACACATCAAGCTTTAAGAAAGAAATTCACAAGCACACACATCTTCTCATCATCGTTACTCTCAACCAAACACACTGCATGAATTGCCCTCACCCACAAACACTCAACAGCACATTGCCATAGTGGTCTCCCCCATCCCCATTGAAGTCAAGTTTAATCTTGCTATTCTTTCACACTAATCAGAAATTCTCAGGCAGCTTCCTCCTCTCAAAATCTTCAAAGGTATGATTTAATCTCTTTCCCTTGTAATTTCGAGAGAGGTACAAGTATACAATTACACATAAAAATTGGTGGTTATTTTTAATTGTGGTATTGAGTTTGTGTGCCCCAACCCCATGAAACCCCATAGGAATGGTGTTGCGATTATGACAACATGTGGTAGTACGGAACCCCCAAGCCGATTTGGGAGGATGAAGCAATCCCTCATGTCCATAAGAAATTCCATGGCACTAATGCATGTTAAATGTTTGATATAATGCCTCAATGGCATTCCTTGTCCCAATTGGAGCCCGAGTCTCCGGGATTAATAGACTAGTGTTATGAAGTCATACACCACGATAAAATCTTAATTGTGGGGTAGCTCGTGGGTAGCCCGAAAAGAAGAGGTGAAGTCTGAGTAACCTCGGAAAGTCGGGAAAAATTATGTGTGTAGTGTGTAATGCAGTTTTATCTGACTATTTCTTATTTGTGTTGGAACAACGATGCCTCCCAGAAAAGACACAGGCAAAGCCAAGGCTACTTCCACTGCGCCGGCTAAAGTAAAGGCGACCTCAGCACCTCCCCCAAAGAAAAGAAAAGGGGGGGAAGCTACCTCCAATCTAAGTGGAGTACAAGCTGTAGAAGCTATAGCAGCTATGCGTCAACAACCTCAAGGCCAACGAGAGTTTGTCATCAACAGAATACCACCACATACTAAGGATTGGTACAGGCGTTGTAGGCCTAAACATGTACACCGGAAGCAGCTATCAATGAACGCAGCTTGAAAGCAAAGTATCAGGCAATTTGGAGGGGCATTCAGGATATGGGGTTGATCTATATATTCAAGAACACAGTGGACATTAATCTCAACTTAGTCCAAGAATTCTATGCAGGGTTTGATCTTTAGAGTACTGAATAGTTGGTGTCGATTCGTAGGCGATTAATAGATTTTTCACCCATGGCCATATGTAACTTTTTAGGTGCTCTTGATGTTCCTGTAGAGCCATTGGACCACTTCATTCACCGGCCTTCATACAGAGATTTGAGACACATGCTTTGTGGTTCCGATTCTACGGCAGCATGGGTCTAGGATAAGATAACTAATCGGCACAAGATGTTTCCTAAGAAGAAGATGAGGGCGGAGGCTCAAGTGTGGCTTAAACTGATAAATGCACGACTCCTACCGTGCAATCATGACACACTCATTAGCCGAGAGAGGACATGTGTACTCTACTCTCTCATGACGGGTCAAAGGGTAAATGTGGGTCATCTGATCCGCTACCAGATGTCTGTAGTCAGAACGAGTAAAAAGATTGATCGGATGGCATTTGTCAATTTTCTAACTCAGTACTTAAGA